CTTATGAGGAGCGGCTGAGGGAGCTGGGTCTCTTTAGCTTGAAGAGGAGACTGAGGGGTGACCTCATTAACGTTTATAAGTTTGTAAAGGGCGAGTGTCAGGAGGAAGGAGCCAGGCTCTTCTCTCTGATGTCCAATGACAGGACAAGGGGCAATGGGTGCAAGCTGGAACATAGAAGTTTCCATGTGAACATGAGGAAAAGCTTTTTTACTGTGAGGGTTACAGAACACTGGAACAGGCTGCCCAGAGAGGTTGTGGAGTCTCCTTCTCTGGAGACATTCAAAACCCGCCTGGACGTGTTCCTGTGTGACCTAGTCTAGGTGATCCTGCTCTGGCAGGGGGGTAGGACTGGGTGATCTTTTAAGGTCCCTTCCAACTCCTGAGATTCTGTGATTCTCTGAACACAATAAACAAAACAAGAAAGAATTGCTGAACCAATACTGAATCTGGCAGGACTTTACAAAGCACTTAATGCTGGTATTTTAGTCTAGGTGGAAATGTGGCATAATGGTGTAAGGATCAGCTCGGCAAACCCCTATTTATTAATTAACTTTTCTGCCTTGTAACGTGTGTGGTTTTAGGTGATTGCTGGCTCCTGGCTGCCATTGCATCTCTCACTTTGAATCCAGATGTTCTGCACCGTGTTGTTCCCAAGGATCAAAGTTTCCAGAAGGACTATGCTGGGATCTTTCATTTCCAGGTACCTACATGATCAAAGTATTAAGAATAAAAGAGGAAAATGCTAGTATTCTGCTAAAACTGGCTTTTAAATGTTTTGCACAGGCTAAATATTCAAGAATTATAGTGTGAAATTGGTGGGGAGTAAGAGGGCATGAAAAGAAGAATGGAGATAAGTAACATTAAACGACACCTGCTCACTGGCTAGGTTCTGCTGTCTTACAGCTGGTGAGGCTCTGGTGAGTTATATAGGTTTTGTAAACTGAGTAAAACCATCACACCATGTGAGTCAAGCCAAGCTCTTTTGCTGCCAGCTGTTGAGTGTGATTCAGGCAGAAGTCGTTCCTCCTTAGGTGAAAGGGTAGGAAGATGGTAGAGTGGGTCTATTATGTGCACACCAGCCCTCATCATCTTCTCCTTTCTTCTTTTCATCAGTTTTGGCAGTACGGAGAATGGGTGGACGTGGTGGTAGATGACAGGCTGCCCACCAAGAACGGGAAGCTGCTCTTCGTGCACTCAGAGGAAGGCAATGAGTTCTGGAGCGCACTGCTGGAGAAGGCCTATGCGAAGTACGGTGGCTAAGCAGCGCAGGCAGCACTCCTGGGTGTGCAGAAGTTGACTGTCTGGGAGGTTGTGGTCTTAGACACAATGCGCTTCACTCAAATGCAGCCTCCATTCTACCCATTTTTCACAATTTCCTCTAGGTCCATAAAGAGTATTGGCAACCCTCTGTTTCAAGAGGCTTTACTTCTGGTGCCCCAGGTCACACTGCTGATCACATGAACCAAGAGATTCTAAATTATAAACCCTTTTTTCTGCAGCGTCATTGCTTACAGGTGGAAGTGGCCCCTTATACAGCTCTTGTTATCTCTCCCACAGGTTGAATGGCTCTTACGAAGCTCTCACAGGAGGGTGCACTATGGAAGGCTTTGAGGATTTTACTGGAGGCATTTCTGAGTCCTATGAGCTGCGGAGGGCCCCTTCGAACCTGTACCAGATAATCCAGAAGGCTCTGAGAGCTGGGTCACTGCTTGGCTGTTCCATCGATGTAAGAGACTGCAGCTGCTTTACTATCCTGACCCCTCAGGGCTCTGGTCGATACTGCACAAAAGCTCAGACCAATGTTAGACATAGGTAGGAAGGTCTGAACTAAAGGTAAACTACAGTTAATCGGAAACTTCTCTTGATTTCAGTTATAAAACTTCGAACAAAGTTCTAAGTAACCAATTCTCGTCATGTCTCTCTTTTTACAAGACACCCTGTGATAATACTTTGATCCATGAACTGGGGACTGGTCTTCCTGAACTCTGTTTTCATTCTCTGAGTATCTTTTCTCGTTCAAATTCTGTATAATTTCAGCTGCAGACACGAAACTGCCAGAGACAAACTCTTTGAGACACTTTGTTGTAGCCTGGAGTCTGATTCTGGCTTTGGTTTTCAATCCTAACATTTACTGACACCTATAATACAAACTCTCTCAAGTTACAGATGATGTTTGTACATGTTCTGGAAACTCCACACTTTGCAGATCCTGTTTCATTCTCTTGTTTGAAATCCTGGTTCATGGCATATAGGATTGCCAGAATTCAAATTTTGATATGTTGGATCTCAACTGAGGCAGGCTAGAGCTGAGTTCACATGGACGTGTCTTTACAAATCACTGGGTCTGTTACCTGAGCTGGGATTTGGATTTAGTTTTAGATTTCATTGTACATACTTGAATCTCTGCTATGCTAGGACTGCACATTTAGGGGTATGAATCTGTGGAGGTGAACTTCTGCTGTGGATCTCACCTCTATTTAATACACCTTGCATCAGAAATATTGATATTCATTGTGCATACCGCTTTGGATATCTTCCCCCTTATTAATTTGCTCATGAAAGCTGTGTTTGTACACAATATATAGTCCTAAATATGTATACTTCTATTGCCCCAGGTAACTTCTGCAGCTGGAATAGAAGCAATCACAAGTCTGAAACTGGTAAAGGGACACGCTTACTCTGTCACTGGAGCAGAAGAGGTGAGCCAGCCTCTCCAGGGCTCATCCAGCCTAGCTGAAGCTTTTATACTTGTCATCATACAAAAGAGCTTGGGATGCAATATTGCAATGCTTCAAACTTACAGATATCTTTCTGTGACTGGCCAAATAAAAATGTTGCTAACTTAAGCACTCTCTTACAGAAAGAAATTTCCTGCAGTACTTGGTCAGGTCAGAAGCTCTGCACTGGTAGTTGTATAGAGGGTACTGTGCAGTCTGCAACTTGCATTGTACCAGCAGACTGGAATACAAAAAGTAAAGGTGGGTCGAGCTGTTACCGAAATGAAAGGCATGGAAAGGGAAAACAAGAGAGGAGGCAGCCATTTCCCCACATTTTCTCCCCACCTGCATGAGGTGGGAGCGTGGACTTTGCCGATCAGTGCTAGTGGGAAAGGAGTAAAAGCCTCTTTCATGAACTCCTCCGTTAGTCTCACCTTCACTGTGAGCCATAGATAGTTCCACTCCTCTCAAAATGAATCATTACAGAGGTGTCCATGCCAAATAACCTCTTCCCAACCTTGCTGTGTTGTGTGACATCTGCTTTTGAGGATGTAGATATTCAGCTGCTTTGTAGCTGATGTTTTTCCCTGCCGGTTGCTGCCATTATATGAAATGGTGAGTGCTGCAGCTAATGGCTCGCTTGGTGGCACAGGGTAATGTAAAATAAGGGTGGAAGGTATCTAGGTGACCTTTAACTATTGCAAATTGTAATAGACTGTATCACTCTAGTACAAATCATGTTTTATCCTGTCTGAAAAGCAATGCCCTGTGATGATTGGGATAATGGAAGTGCTCAGGCTCTGCTTGTTGTGGATCTTTTAGGTATATTACCGAGGAAGGCCAGAAAAACTAGTGAGGCTTAGAAATCCCTGGGGTGAAGTGGAATGGACTGGAGCTTGGAGTGATAAGTAGGTTTTTATATGTCCCTGCTTCTCTCTCTTTGTTGTATTTTGGTATCTTTTAAAAATTAAATTGGGACTATGCAGTTAATCCAATCACAAAGCACATTTAGGAGAGATACTAAATCAGTTGGAACAAAACACTATTAATTTATTAGCAAGGTTAGATATTGATCTGCTCTGCCCAGTGGACATTCTTCCCTGCCTCAGGCAGAGCTTTCTAATAAGAGAGAACAGCCCACGTTTTAATTGTGAGCAGCCCAATGCAAGCCATATATATGTCATTTTACAAGATTACTTTTCTCAGCTTGATCCTGCTGATGGTGCGAGGACCTTAGAATGGGATGTGCAAACCAATCCCATTCCTGGGAAATACAGCAGAGCTAAACCATTGTGCCTCTACTTCAACTCTAGTAGAGTTGCCTTAAAGTTGCCTTGCTGTGCTCTAAATCAGACCAGTATTTGTTTTTTACTGGAGAATCTTGAAAAAAATTGGGATGTTGACTAAGCTAAAGACCCAGAAGTTTAAAGATCTACCAGAAACTCTCTGGGCTTCAATTACCTTGGAATCTCATGAGAATGGCAATGACAGCACCTCTTTTGTTTTTATATTTAGAATGGCATGAATTTTACTTTCATTTGGGCCATGCTATTTTTTCATGCAATACTTTGAGATTTCAGTTTCCTGTCCTGACTGACTGCAATATCCATGCTGATGTTGTGTAACACTTAAGGGCAGAAAACAGAGATAAGCATTAGAATTATTCTTACCTTTATCAGAGCTGCTTTGCTCAGCCCTATGATGAGGTGCTTCAGGCACGCACATGTGCCATATCCTGATTTTCTTGCACCTGTTTTACCAGGGGACAGCCCTGCTGAGGCAGGTGCAGAACTGCTCTGTCACGTGTGAGCAGATCAGAGCAGAATCCAGCTTGCTCCACAGTAACATCAGAATGGAGAAGGACCAGTGCTGTTTTCTGCAGTGCATTTTCTAATCCCACCTTTTAGCTTTCTTGTTCTTTTGTGATGCCAACAGCAGAGCTTATATCATTTCCCTAGGGAGACTACCAGGCATACCAACGGATTTTACAATGGAGAAGCTCTGCCTGACTTCCAGGCAGCGTGTAACCCAATCCAGCCAGTTTGCAATATTTGTGCATTCTGGCACCTGGCAGTGATGACTCAATTTAAGGCTTATTTGTTGCAGATACCGTTGCAGCCTTATTCCAGCCCTGTATGGTCAGGTTGAAGTGTGTCTCGCAATTGGGAAGGGCAGAAGGTCGAGGTGTTGAGGAAACACATACTCCTTTATCAGGTGTAACGGAACACAGAGCCTAACCCCCTGATCTTGTAGAATAAAATACAAATGAACAGCTTGCTTTTGTGTTTTGTCTGCAGTGCTCCTGAATGGAATTTTGTTGATCCCAAACAAAAACTGGCTCTGGATAAGCAAGTAGATGATGGAGAGTTTTGGTGAGAATCATTCAGTTGTACATTTTATGTGCATGGATGCTTTTTAAGCAGCCCTTTTAGTTGGATGGAGAGAAACTGCCAGCACAAAGGGGGTTAATAATGACATATGTGTGTGTTGCTAGCCTCTTGTTTATCTCCCTTCCCATTCAAATATTACCTTTTATTAGAGCTTGCATAACTCAGTGCTTATCCAAAATATAGAGACCAGATGGTAATAAAATTAATGAGGTGGCAAGAATGAACCTCATCTGCTCTATATTTTGAGGGTTTTTTTGCCTAAATGCTATGCACTAATGAAAAAGTTTAGATTACCAGCTTGGGAAGAGTGTGTTTACCCACATCTAATGGAAAGCCCATCCCAGTTAGCTGATTATATGGATCAGTACTGAATCCACATCACTCTGTCCTAGACTGGAAAGATAAACGCCCATCTTTCAGGGCAATCAGCTATATGGGCCATAAGGCACTGAGAAATGAGAACAGACCTCTGCTTGCGGCATGAAGTGATCAAGGTCTGTCACTCATGCAAACCTACTAGGAATGGGAAAAACAAACATTAATGATAAATTGAAAGCAAAACACAAACTGAGACTGTTTTTCTACAGAGTGGCTCTTTCATAAGGACCAATTCTTACTCCCATTAAATGGCATCTCCTCGCACATTTTGTTCCATAAATTTTAGTGAATTTATTTGTGAAGTATGAGCTATGAGGAATTGCCCACGGCTGAGGATGACAGCAAATGATATGACTGAGCCCATAATGTGTAACAGCCGTTGAGAACAACTGCCTCCGGGAGATACAGCACATTCAGGAACTGGGAAATTTTGTTTCCCAAAAGCGAATTCCAAGCTTCAGAGTTCAATTTAATGAACTCTGGGCAGCTCTGTAGTATCGATGCTTGCTGCCCTGTTGGGAAAGACATCCATTTGCACTCGCCTCGACTGCTGCAGACTGATGGACTAACCCAGGATTTTTTTGTGCATCAGGATGGCATTTTCAGATTTTCAAAGGCAGTTTACCCGCCTTGAGATCTGCAACTTGACTCCCGACACGCTGACAAGCAAGGAGATCAATAAATGGGACCTCACCCTGTTTAATGGACAGTGGAGACGGGGTTCAACTGCTGGGGGCTGCCAGAACTACCAAGGTTGGAGACACAGCCATGTGGGCACTTGGTGAAATAACAGCATAACAATCAAAATAAATACTTGTGAACCAGAGGGGTCTTTGGTGGGAAGGGCTTGGAGGACAGCTGTAGCATTTAGATAGTAAGCAAAAGCTTGTCAGCCTAAACCAATATCTAATTCACACTTACTTCCTCACTGGGGATCACCAACCCACTAAGCCGTTAACTCATGGCTGTATTCTTTTTTTTTTTCTGTCTGCTTTTCCTGCTTACATGGCTTTTGCTACTGACTGGTGCAATCCTCGGAAGGGTTGGGCAGGCCAGGAAAGTGTCACAGTTCAGTGGCAGCGTTTTTTGCCATTTATTTTCAGGGTAGACCTCTGGAGAAGCTGTCTGACATTTGGTCCTCTTGCAACAGTAAGAGCCTTGGCCAAGGACGTTTCCTGGAGATAAATGACTCGCTGGAATTAATGGCATCAGCTCCTTCCTGTTGGTCATTATTCCCCAGGAAATATCTTGGTGCTTTGATTTGCTGTGGCTCAAATTGATATTCAGCATGGCTATGAAAACAGAAAAACATATAAGTAATGGCAATGACAGGAAAAACTCTAGGCAAAAAAAGTCATTCCAAAGAGATATTCTCTGTAATTCTAGTGACAGCTATTTTGACTATGATGACAGCAAAATCTTCTCCTTTTTGTCTCGCCTTGGGAATTCTTAGCCACATACTGGACCAATCCCCAGTTTAAAATCCGCTTGGATGAACCAGATGATGACCATGAAGGGAGTCTTAATGAGCCGTGCTGCACTATACTGGTGGGTTTGATGCAGAAGAACCGGAGGAGACAGAAGAAAATGGGAGAAGATCTGCTTAGTATTGGTTATTCACTCTATCAGGTAAAGTTTGTTCCTGATTAAAGGCTTTATTCCCTCATCTTTTATGCTGTAAAAAAATCAACAATGTGCTAGATTGTGACATTCAGCACTACTCTACAATAAGAACTGGATTTTGCAAGATGATTCAAATCCTACTCTCATTTCTTCCTGACCCACATAATATGCAAAAATTCATATAAATTTAGTTTTTGTCCCACTTTACCAGGAGGACAGTGTAAAACTAGAGGCAATTATTTAGCAACAGTCTCATTGAGAGCCTTCTCTTACAAAACCTGAATAGGGGCAGGCTCAGGGTGCCTGGCAATTCTAGATAAGTGTTTCTGATTACAGCCTATCATTAGTGCTCAGGAGTCACTTTGGGTTTTTTATTATTTTTCCCTTGCATTTAAAAATTGTTTTGAATCATTGTCTACCATGCTATTGTTCTGATTCAGTGATCTTTTTTCTGATTCTCCCAGTGTTGCTTCTGTCTCTAAAAATACAATGAAGGGGAAAAATCTACATTGTCACCTCTAGTTTCTATGATGTGAAGGGATAGAAGCAAATATAAAAATTTCCAACCAGTACTATCATTCCCAATGTCATATCTGGAGAAAAGCAATTAAATGTTGTATAGATTCCACTGGATGAAGATCATTAACCAGCACATGTGGGAGCAGATGGGAATGGCTGACTTTTGCTAATATGTCTTGTGGAGGATGGTTCAGAACTAGGAAAAGTTTTCCCTAGTGCCCAAGTGTCTGCAGATACAAATGGTTCTCACTAAGCCTATTTCTGAATTTCCATCTGCATGGTGCCAAGCACTCTGGCTTATTGGCATTCTGAATTTGCACATTAAAGATGTTTGTCTGCTCACATCCTTGAGTACAACCCTGGAGAAGTTAGCAGAGCTTTTGTGCATTACATCTATTTCATCCCATCTGCCTCCTCTGTGATCTTTCCCATAGGAGGGTAGACTTGGTGGCTCTTAACAAGATGCTGGCTTTCTTTTGAAAGACATGGCTGCTAAGTTGTCTCCAGTAGGCATCCAGTTATGATCCAAGTTACTTGGGTCATGCACTTTTGTAGATTTACATTACAACTGGTGCTGCAGCTCAGGAGGTCCAGTTAGGACAGCATGGATGGTGACCTAAAGCAGATGTCTGTGCAGGAGAAGGTGAAAAGATGTATGCTCAAGTCTACCTGCCCTGCAGAGATTTTGTAAATCATGCAGTTCAAACTGCCTACTGACAATAACTGTAAGTGTGCCCATCACCAAGCTTCTGGCCTTCTAGTATGCTGGTTATACAAAACAAGACCTGAAGTCTCAAGGGGCCATCTCAGGCCCCAGAATCATTATATGGGTGATATTCTAAAAAGCTCTTTTGGGTCTTGGGAGGACATTCTCGTTGGTTTTCACTGGAATCTGTGCTCTCAAGACAACCAATTGCTTCTGGAAAAGCTATCTTATATTTGGAGGTACAAATTAACATAGTAATTTAGTTAATTTAGAAAGGGCCAAATCTTGAAATCTGTGACTCGTTATAATTGTCTTACAACAATCTCATCATCCTCGGGCAGATTGCTAGTGACAGTAGCCTTATATTTTCATCATATTCCAATAACAATAGACTAGTAGATTTTAGGTGTGCTGTAATAAACCCTCAGTTTGTTTTTGGTTAGCAATGTGGGACCAACTCGTTGACTTTCCTGACTGAACACTTAAAGGCTTATCTAAATATTTCCAACCATTAGTATCACTCACAACACCATATCAGGAGAAAAGCAATGAAATGTTGTATAGATTGCTCTGGATGAATATCCTGTTTTTGCTTTGGAACAGTTCTCGCACAAGCTAGAGCTCCATGTATAACTGATACTACAGTATGTGGTTATAAATGAAAATAATAATAAAAAAGCCTGAACAAGACTTTATCTGATTTTATTTTTTTTCGTAATGATAGATGCGGGTATGTAGCATTCCTTTAACATCAGCTCTTTCTCTCCCTTTCAGATTCCTCAGGAGGTATGTAATCTCTGCTGAAGACTTTAGTCTCCAGATATGCACCTCCTGTTGCTCTGGAGAATTTAGCTACTCAAAGGCTTCTTCCTTACTAATGACAGCTCTTCTGGAGAGCTTTGTTTTTGGATCGCTGGACCGATATCTCAAGTTCTGAATAACCATTTCCAAGGGACTAGGAAACAAAGCTTTATTACAGACATCTGAACCCCGAACTTGACTTCATTTATACTAGCTAAAATTTGGCTTCCACTAAGTTTGTGTAGTAGAGGTCAGAATTTGTCTATTTAGTACAGGTGAAGGCAGAACAAGGTCTCTGCACTCTAGAATCAGGAAAATGTAGCTGATGTTGTTTCAAGGAAATGCCAACGTCTGTGGATCTATTCCTTTTATAGTTCTGAGCTGGGGCTCCTGGTAATGAACAAACCCCACTGAACCTTTCCTAATCCTCCCAGATATCAATCCTGAGGTAAAAAGACTTTTAATTCCTGAAAAAAGAGACTTCAGAGGTGCCTGGCAGTAGGAATAGCCCATACTCATTACTGAGGTCCAGCAGCCTGTGCTGCCAATTTTTCCTTGGCTTTTCAGCCCTTTTCTTCTTGCTCAGAAAATGAATGCGGTCATGTAGCAATTAATTGTGTTCTTTTAACAGCCTTGCAGATGCAAAGGGGAAAAGAACTTTGTATATTGAAAAATATACGGATCTGGATACTTAATCTTTGCAGTCCCACTTAGCTTAAGATTGAGTGGGGAGAAAGGATGAGGTTGTTGAATAAATACCAAATCCAATCTTATCTTCAGAACAAAAGAGGAAAAAAACCCACATATTTTTACCATTTACAACAGAAAAATGGAATGATTATAAAATGTTTGATAACATCTTTGTATGCTGTGATCTTAGACAGCCAGAAATCTTATCTGTATGCAATGTTCCCCACCCTGTGTCAACCACACAGCACTTTTTGTGGATCATTGAATCACACTTTTTGAAAGACATCCCTGTGGAGCAAAAGTCATGAATAGGAGATTTAAAGCAGAGATGTTATTCTTACACTGCTGTTTTTTGTTACATTGGTGTTTTATTTTGTGAGCTATGCAATGTTTCACTTATTTAATAGTATATTGGTATTAAGGAAAAATTAAGTACTATTTTCCACATAATCCCAAGGAGTGCCCTTAATATTACTAATAGAAGTTGGATAAATCATCTCATGTGGCCCCAAAAGTCTCACTCTTGTGACTACTACTGTGCTCTGTTTACTATTATTTTCTGCCTGTTTAGATAAATCAGAGAGTACGAGAGCTATGCAATTAGATGTATCCTGTACCATAAATTGTTCAAAAGTGTTCTGAAAAATAAATTTGTTCATGAGAAGCCTGTGAAAGCAAAAAATGCTCAATACATGGACAACTTAAGTACAGTAGATACTAGTTTGACCAGGTATGAGCATACACTATGATCTTTTGATTTATTTTATATCACAGAGTGTAAAGAGGCATGTGAAAAGTTAATCTTTATAAAGGATGATATTTTCTCCTTCTAATTATCTGCCTTACTGTTTCCCATGACAGAACCCTGGTGCTTATCTTTTACAACATTGCTCATGGATTTAATATTTTATGCTAAGAAAAAGACTTGAGATGGCTTTAAAGCACTGAAATGGAAACAGGGAGGCTGGATTACCAGTGAATTGTCAAATAGTTTCTAACAAAAACACATTTCCCACAGCTGGAAAATACCACAGATATTCATGCAAACCGTGCTTTCTTCGCAAGGAACCAACCAGCAGCCCGGTCTGATCCTTATACCAACCTGCGTGAAGTCTCCAGCCGCATGAAGTTGCCTCGGGGAGAGTACCTCATTGTGCCATCCACTTTTGAGCCTTACAAAAACGGAGAGTTCTGCCTGCGAGTTTTTTCGGAGAAACAGGCTAAAACGCAGTGCGTATCTCCTCTGTAAAGCCCCTCTTCTGCTGATGAGGCACACAGTGGAAAAGGTCGGGTGTTGCACCCACATCTTTCCCCCTAACCAGTAATATAGGCCCATTTCTAGGACCTATTTTCTTATGTAGTCTAACATCTGTGACACACACACACACATCCATGGTAGAGAGTCATGGGTCTTCAGATGACCTCCAGCAACCACTGAATAGATCCCTCAGGTCTAGGAGGTAGTTCTCACAATTAAAGATGGCAGAATGTGGGAGTATAATGCTGAGGAGATGGTTCTAAAAAGGGTTGTATCAATAGTGGCCATTGAATGAAAAAAACAGGAGTCTGGATAGAAGACAAGAACAACAAGGCTGGATTTCCCAAGGAAAGTATCTTCAGAGAGGTGGGACAGACAGAGGTGTAGGAAGCAGGAAACCTGGGGGCTTGTTCTATGCATTTGGTAACACCTTATATGAAAATAGATTGTTTTACTAATTACTTTAAGGGCAAACGATAGACTTGTCATTTCTTCTTGATGTTTTTCATTTTTTTTCCATTTTTCCTTAGAGTGATTGGTGATGTGGTGGCTGCAAAACCATATGAGGTAAATGTCTTAACTGGGCAGATTGTATTTTTTTTTTCTTAACAGACTTTTTGTTCATAATGTGAGGGCAAAACATGGGTGAGATCACAGAATCACAGAATCACAGAACATTAGGGTTTGGAAGGGACCTCAAAAGATCATCTAGTCCAATCCCCCTGCCGGAGCAGGAACACCTAGATGAGGTTACACAGGAAGGCGTCCAGGCGAGTTTTGAATGTCTCCAGAGAAGGAGACTCCACAACCTCTCTGGGCAGCCTGTGCCAGTGCTCTGTTACCCTCACTGAGAAGTTGTTTCTTCTCAAATTGAAGTGGAACCTCCTGTGTTCCAGTTTGTGTCCGTTACCCCTTGTCTTATCATAGTTTGTCACCGAGAAGAGCCTGGCTCCATCCTCATGACACTCACCCTTTAAATATTTATAAACATGAATGAGGTCTCCCCTCAGTCTCCTCTTCTCCAAGCTAAAGAGACCCAGCTCCCTCAGCCGCTCCTCATAAGGGAGATGCTCCACTCCCTCAATCATCTTTGTAGCCCTACGCTGGACTCTTTCCAGCAGTTCCCTGTCCTTCCTGAACTGAGGGGCCCAGAACTGGACACAATATTCCAGATGCGGTCTCACCAGGGCAGAGTAGAGGGGGAGGAGAACCTCTCTCGACCTACTGACCACACCCCTTCTGATACACCCCAGGGTGCCATTGGCCTTCTTGGCCATAAGATCTTTGTATTTCCCCTGAGCTGGGATCACAGTATGTGTTTGTGCTCAGGAAAAGTAGGTTTTGGTTATGAGGATTCTTTACATATCTGCATGGCTTAGTTTCACATGCACTTTCCTGTACCTGGGCACATGTGGAACAGAAACTGCACCCTTGTAGACTGGGCTAGAACACATTAAATTGTCCTTCCATCTAGTACAGGTGGGAGAAGGTGGGGAGGGCACTGAATGATCCTTTTCATAGAATCAAATAGTCTTTCCGAAGCCCAAGAGAAGTTACAAAAGCAGACATCCAAGGAACTGCTGTATTGCTATGGTTAGGTGCAGCAACATTTTCACTGCGGCTATTTAATAAAACTATTTTGGTGGCAGAAGAAAACTTCTTCATCGGTCTTAGAAAGTATTTACTCCCAAACGAATTCAGGCCCTGGCTGGTCATGATTTAAGTAGTGCCTCTGTTTTGCTGTTGCTGCAGAGCAAGTGCTCATTTTCCATTTCTGTAATAGTCCCCTGTAAAGCTGCTTTATGATATCCACAACTCGCTTTCTAGAACCACCTTGTAAACTGCACTCTTGGTCATCTCTTTCCTCTAGCCCCATGTTGATAACAAAGATATAGATGACGAATTCAAGACTCTGTTTCAGAAGATCTCTGGAGAGGTAAGTGGATTAAAACGAAAGAGTGGGACCTCTCTGTTATGATTATGCAAATATTTGACTTGCCAGTTCTTTTTACCATCTAGTGTTCAAAAAACCCAAGCGGTTCTCCCCTTTTATTAACTCACAGTTTGGGTTCACTTTATTTTACCATATAACAGTTTTACTACATTGTTCCTCTTATTGGCGCAAAATGTGATTTGTTCCCTTGGTAATGCAGGGCATGGAATATCTTTGAAAATAGGGGTGATGGCAGTGAGGCCTGTGAAAATATTATCCCATGGTGAAATAAATTACCTGTAGAGCTAGCATATAATTCTGACAATTGCCTAGTTGGCCAATTCCTTCCTTTTTGTTTAGAAGCCCCAGGAATCAGAAAAACTCTTGGCTGAACAGTCTCTGTGTATTGTATTTGACAAACCTCAGTATCTACAAAGCCCTGCTGTGCTAGCCTGTGGCTGTCGCATCAAATTTTCTCTTAATGAGCAGGTGGCCACTGGCACTGAAGAGGGAAAACATCTTGTTAGCTAGAAAGACCTTTCTGAGTTTTGAAAGGGCAATTTTAATATTGTTTGGTTGTAGTTTCCATAAGCCTGGAAAATCTCAAATGCTCTCCTGAACCTCTTCAGCTGAGAAAGAAGGCAGGCACTCAATTCAGTCAAACCTATTAAAAAAGTTAACGTTTACTGAGTCATGTCACCACAGCACCTAGCAAACCACTTATTTCCTATCTAAAAGGCTAGGATATCTTCATGGTTTCTGAGGATCTTCTCCATGTGATGTCCAATAGTAAATATAAAGTGTTAGAAAAAATTAAAGGTTAATATGCCTTAGATAAGGATTAGAAGGAAAATGATCCCCGGATGTCTGACAGAAAATTAATATAGTTTGTTCCAAATAATTTTTGTGTCAGCACCTAAAATGTTTTCTGTCTAGGACTCTGAAGTGACTGCAATTGAACTTCAAACTATCCTAAACCGGGTATTGGCAAAGAGTAAGTACTCTGTATTTCCCATGATGGAGCTGAAAGGCATGTGCTGAAATGACGAGACATAAAGCTGCTCTTTGGTCTGAGTGAACGTCCATGCCTGGGTCCCTCAGCACACAGATGGGATCTGTGCTAGCAGAACTCAGCTCTATTAGCTAAGGACGATGAAAAACTAAGTCTTTGTCTGTCCCCAGCTGAGTTTTTTCTGGCCTGTTGAACCGCTAATATGGAGGGGAAAAAGTACCACTTGGTGCTCCCCTTCCAAGAGCTGCCAGCCAATGTCCCACAGAAACACTATATTCCCTGTACCTTCTTGGGAGGACCACCATGAGAAGATACTACTATGCTGCAGCATAACTTCTGTGAACAGACAGAGGCTTACCACCCTCAAGACCAATAGCATCCCCCGCTCCAATGCCAAAAAAAATGTGTTAATCAGCTGAAGGGAAATAGTGGAAGCGATGGCAGAGCATTTACTTTGCTAACAAGATTTATGATTCTATGATTTTAAGGCAACTGGCATCTCCAAGGTTTTCTGCAGGAAAACATTTATCTAAAAGCATTTCTGACTTGGATTTTTATATCCTTTATTTACAGGAAAGGATATTAAAAGTGATGGATTCAACATTAACACTTGTAGGGAGATGATCAGCCTTTTAGATGTATCCTTTGAATGTCATTTCATCACCCTTAAAGTTTCTGGATCTCCTTTACAAAACTTCTTGATAAGATAGACTAAGTTTACACTTCTGTTATCCAGGCACATGGCTGGAGGCATAAAATTCAGCCAAGCATCTCTATCAGATCGTGGTGTCAGCAACGTGAACCATTTAATCATCAGCTGCCTCTCTCACCTGCTCTGCATCTCTCCTTGCTTAAACATTTCCCTAAAAATAGCAGGGAGGAGAAGCAGAAACCTTCTGCTTGAATGCACCTGTGCAGTCTCAGATGCATACACAGCATGCTTGGTAGGAGGCACGTTTTAAGCACAACCTCAACTTCCATCTCTAAGTCAGGTGCTGCTTACAGAACTCAAAGCAGCAGAGACAGACTGGAAAACCTGTTCAGAGGGGGAAGGCTATGAGTATATGCTGTGCCTCCCTCTCTTCTACATAGCTTGTAGGACACTTTGGTGCTATGTGTAGCCAAGGGAAAAGGAGAGGTCAGCACATCTGCCCAGTACTCCTTTAATGTGCTGGGGATGTAGCCAGTGCACTGGGAGGGTAAAGAGTCATGCTGCTAGGTTTACACTAATGTTGGTCTCATGACATGGCTGTGTTGAGGTCAGCTGTGGATCTTCTGGGTCACCAGCTGTTAGGAGAAGTGATGCCTTTGCCCTACACTCCACAGCATCCCAAACCCAACAGGGCAACTCAATAAGTACAGCAACATGGGGGCCAACTCCTTGTTTCTGCATAATTTTCCATAGAAATGGATGTTCAAGGTCCTGAAGGACATGGGAAATACGTGTGTAGCCTACTGTTGACCCTCTCTGTTCACTCACAGTTCCTGTCTCTGCTTTCTTGTCTGCTGTGAAGCCAGTCCTTTGTTTCTCTAAGGGCTTTAATCTACTGTTAACTGTACAAAAAGTGAGTAGATCTAATCGTGCTTTTATATTTAGCAATCCCTTATATCATTCCTTGAGAGTGCTAGAAATTCTTGGCATGCCTTGAGTTAAGCAAATGTAAAGCTGTGGGTATGTCTGTGTGAGATGGAGATGTATGACAAATGAGAATGAATATGGCATTAAGATGACATTGTGATAGGTGATTTGTTTTTATCAGAACTGGTTGCTCTCCAGTTTTGCTAAGGATAGAGGAATCCTGATTTTTGAACCATGCCTTAACATCACCAGACCAATGGGACTGGCACCTTGGGACTCCTAGAATTCAAGATGCTTTGGATGAAGATTCAAAAGTATTTGGTAACAAAATATTTCTGACTGTCTCCCCTTCCTTCTCAGCTTTGAAGTACTGATCCAGAACTGAGATAGGGTACAGTCACCACAGGCAGATGTACTTGGAAGCCTTCCTTCTCATGGCTGGAGTTTGTTCCAGGCTCAGAAACACCTCTGATTTAAAAGGCCACAAGCAGAAATTCTTTCATCTCATCCCCACCCCTCTCCATCATTTTCAGTATCTCATGAAAAGCCAGATAAATGCTCTTTCATTGCTGGCAAAGATAGCTCTCTGCTGCTTGCTGTATTGAAGCTTGTATGGACATGTCTCTGCTGTTGCAATACGTTACACTACCAGCTGAGCACCAGCAAACACAAGAAGCACATATTTTTAGGATCTACAAAAACCTGGATTTGTATTTTTTAAATCTTGTAGAAGTGCCGAATTATTTTTCTGACAGGGGATTTAATATTCCAAGAAGTGCACCCAGAATCAAGCAGTCTAAAGGGAGGTTAAATTTGGACCTGCTTTGTTTGACAATACCCTTTTTGGGCAAGACTGCTGCTATCATGCTTGATGCTGGTCAGCATAGAGCATCCGTCCTGGTGATTCATAAGGAGATGTTCAGCTCTCCTTCAGCCAGAGGCACCGGCTTTGTCCTGGGCTGGTGTTGGCAGAGCAAGCCCTGAGAGACAATTCCAGACTGAGCTGTAGGTCTGGGTGGCTTCTAATTCTGGACAATGAACCTGCTGGCAGGAGGAAGCATCTGTTATCTCGTCTGAAGTATTAAGCAAAATGGACTTTGTCTGTTGCACTGTTTGCCAAGTGATAGGATATTTTCCTCAATGGCCTGTCTGCCACCATGTAACATGACGGCAGGCAGGCTGCCAGTCCACAGGAACGTGCTTCCCAGTCTGCCTTGCTTGCCAGTAGCTTTTTGAAACATTTCCCTTGTTCATTAACAATGCAAAGAGTGGGAGCTTGCCGCTGGTATGGGCAGCCCCTGTCCCAGCCAGCAGAAACGTGAGACTGTGTCCGCACAGCAGTGGCAGCAAAGGTAGGCACCAATGTCCTGGCTTTAATTTAGCCACAGGAGCAGAGGGGATGGCAGGGCATGGGCTGCAGAGTGGACTCGCAAACCAAGGTTACGCCCTAGAGGAGCCCTGATTATTTGAATCTGGCTGCTAACCCCTGGTGAGCCTCGTGTTACCATATCTTCAAGACTGGTGTTACCCAGCTATGAAAGCCAGAGCCTGCCTGCCTGTGCTCACACTATCACATTGCTGCGTGGGCACACATTGAAAAGCCATTTTTGCATTCCCTCATTCCCTCTGCTGCAGGCAATCTATAAGAGAGTGGACAGTGACTACTCCGGTACCATCGACTCCCATGAGATGTGGAATGCCCTTAGAGAGGCAGGTGAGTGCGCTGCTCGGGGACGCCCTCAGGTCACTGCTGTCCCCCCCACCAAATATTGGAAGAACGGTGGAGCCTTTTAATGGCTTTGCTTCCCTCCCATCTCCTAGATCACAGCATTGCCAGTCTCTTCCTGACAGTCACATACTGCCACATCCTGTTGCTGTTATACACATTAAAACCTATCCTCTGTTCTGCATTATGAACCACTGACATTTTTGTCCGTGCTGTGATCATTGCTTATTCATCTGATTATTACTTGCTCTATTTTTGGCCTCATTATTTCCTAATCTAATTGTTCTCTTTCAGAGCTATGCCCAAATCCTCTTTTGCCTTCATTTCCTCCCACCACCTTTCTCTACACCAGAGAAAGTGCAAGCCTGATCAAGGCATGCCCCAAATGATATCCTCTCTGATGTGTGCTATTCTCTTCTGGAGCAGTGCTTGCCATCTCAGGAGCATCTAGAGAAGCACAGATTTTTTGGTCTGTCTTGTGCTCAGTGGAGTCTATCTGAATGATCCAGAGACAGAAATAGCACTAATATGGGCCTGAATAGAGCCCAATGTGTTATGTGAGCAGTTGGCTCTGCTGCAATCACTGCTATTCAGTTGCAGCACCAATTCACTAATTAGGGTGTTTATAAGGAACATAGGACTGGTTATGCTGTGAAACAATGTGAAATATGCAGTCTGACAAAATGCCATGGGAGAACTTTATGCCTCTCTTCACCCAGCACAATGGGCTTTGGAAAGGACCCACAGCAGAGGTGGTTGATGGAGTCCAGGAGGCCGTCTGGGGGGAACAGTCCTCAGTCCTTTATCCAGGTCTGTCTGTAGCTGCAGCAGTCCATGGGTAAGTCACATCGAAGACCGCATATTAGCCTGCTGTGTCAGTAACTTGTGTGCTTCCCATGCCTTCAGGTTTCATGCTCAACGATCAGGTGCAGCACAGCATTGTCATGCGCTATGCCTGCAGCAAGCTGACCATTGATTTCGATGGCTTTGTGGCCTGCATGATCCGCTTGGAAACCCTGTTCAGTAAGTGTCTCCATTCATCAGCCAAGGGGAATTCTTGAAAACTTTGGGGTTTCGTTAAGTATTCAGTGTCTTTTAACTGTGAACATAGCAAATTGCACGGAAATGTGAGGTTGCCAGCAAAATTATGTCTGCTGGAGAAAGCAACAGAGAAATAGCAAAAGCCTTTCTGTCTGAATGACCATGGAGAATGTGGGACAGCTTTTCATAACCTACCATGCTCTTCTGCTTTACAGTCATCTGCACGTTATGGTCAGTGTTCTGGCCTCTGAGTTGTCCCAGCTCCTATAAATGGCACCATTTATCATTTACAGTCCTTACTCAGACCTGAGTTTGTCCCTGCATCATACCAAATGCTACTGCATCAGATTTTATACTTGTCCTGCTGCCAACTCTCAGTTTGCTGCTGTAGATCTGACTATTCCACCCCATGAAGTGGCTTAGAAATTACTTGTAAGAGGAAAGAAGAACAGCTGTAATATTCTCTTGCAGAACCAATCTAGATTTCCAGCAGATCATGGCAAAAAGCCAGACCTCTACATTTTGTCAGACAGTGATTCTCTACATGCCAGACTCTGTGGTTTATATCCATTTATTTTCCCCATCTTCTACTTTTCAGAAGTGTTCCATCTCCTGGACAAAGATGAGAATGGAGTCGTCCAGCTCTCTCTGCCTGAGGTGAGGCGGGTCAGATTGAAATACCATCTGATTAAGCCACAGCAATGGACCGCACTGTGATATATTTATTTAAAATCACTATTATCAGTGGTAAGCTCAGTAATGATTTAAAGGAAAAGTCTGTTTATGTGAAAGAGTTCTTCAGCTCAGAAGGCCTGTCTGAATTAGTAGAACCAACATTTAATGTATATGAACAAAAAAGTAAAGATACATTCAAAATCCCTAAGGTTGCTTGTGAAGAGGCTTACACAGTGTGTTTTACTGACTACTTTTAGAGGGCAGTGGCCAATTCATCAGAAAACACACAGCAGGGAACTATTCTTGTCTGGCAGAGAGTGTACTGATCAACCCACCAGAATTAGAAGAGACCTTTTAAGATGCCAGGTCTTTTTTTCCCCACATTGTTTTTAATACAAATTTCTCCTGTTGAAGTTGTAATAAAAGCAATCAGCTTGAGTCTTCCCTTTGCAGAATGCAAATATATCTCAGGAAACAGCTGGAAGGGCCCCCAAGAGCTCCATCCAATTAGCCCTCTCAGTTGAAGACTGACTCAACAGGAGGAGGATGGCTAGAAGCCCTGTGACCCGCAGTCACAGTTAGTTAAATTAAGCTGAAATTGTACATTGCATACTTAAACCCTAGAATTTTTCAAAGGTCACACAGCTTGCCCTGGAGAACTGGTCTTCTCTCGGAAGAGACCCCACTTGCAATGTCTGAGGCTGATCTCGGCAATAAATTTCCCCAAAGTTCCAGAGCAGATGGATCCTTACGCATACAACAGAATAAAACCCAGGTCTAGCCTTTCCCAGCTTGTTCTCCCAGAGCCATGGTAGCGTGCCCTGGTGACATCCTGTGGACCTTCCAGATGGTCTGACTCTCTGTTCTGTTTCTCCATCAGTGGCTGTGCTGCACACTGGTCTGAACCACAGTTGATGAATTCAGTGGAGACCCCTGAGACTTCTTGACACAAACCACTTGTTTGGCTTCTCCTCGTTACAGAAAGCAGAGAAAGAAATTTGTTTTTATTACTGCCAAGTTATTTTAAACACATTAAAAGTGATCTCCTGTCAGTTATAAAATAAATTAATAAAAAAATGCTAAAAAACAAATAAAACAAACAAATCCAAACTAAACCTCCTTTACTTTTCCTACCCAAAGAATATTTCTGTGTGTCATGCTGAAATGTCACCAATTTTGACTTTACCAAAGATGAGCCCAGGTGCCTTTGGTTTGACTTCTGACTGTGCATCAGACTTCAGCGGTGTTCAAAATCCTGGAAGGGATCTCCATTGTCTGTAACATCCAGCATAGGTTTCACAGAATGGAACCCATGCTCAGAGCACTGGCAAAATTTGTGTTGCTGCTCTGGCTACCTCCCTTCCCAGCCAATTGTCCACTTTGGCTGTGCCAAGCGCCCATGGAAGCTGGTGGTGAGGAGCTTGGAGGCAGATGATGATCTGCTGAGAGCACAGGGGATTTGGGCATGGACACAGTCCCGAGCCTGAGCAGGCAATTAGGCAAACATGATGGCACTCCTCCATGAGTCTTGGCTCAGTCTTCTAGGAAGAGGAGAGAGGATGGAAGGCCACAGGCAAGTTGCTGCAGTTATTTCAACTGAGACTTTCTCCTATGAATGCTTGTCCATATGCGTGCTTCAATGCCCAAAGGTTTTGGAGTGTTAGGAGGTCAGTGATTGGAGCCCAGAAGCTCATGAAGACAAGTCTGAGGGGAGGGACATAAAATGCATGTGTAGGGGGTCTAGGGGCTCCGGTATGCATGAAATGTGCTGATGTGGACCATGAATAAAGAAGTAACTTAAGCTAATGGACACTGGTTAACAGTGCTATGCTTTCCTAAGATCTTGTAAAACCTTTGTCCTTTTAAAAAAATCTCCCTGCCTTTAATTTCACAGTACTATAAAGAGTAATAGCACAGCAATGCAGGCAAGTTAATCTAGCAGTCCTTTTTGCAATCAGAAAACATTTCTGTAACTCACAGTAATGATCTGACAAGATGACATGTCTTTGACACTTCTGCCCCTGCGCAGGAGTGCAGGCAGAGATCTGTGTCCCCAGGGCAGATGTGGAGCCAAGGCTGTCTCCCTCTCTTCAGTGCTGTGTTTGAGAGGGGCATTTCTCCATGCCTGCTTGCCCCTAAGCAAGAAGAAAGCTGTTGTTTGCTTCCCATCCCCGCACACAAAGTGCCTCATGACAGCCCCCAGGCCTCTGCTTGACATCTCTCCCAGCATTTCTTGTTAGTGCTGGCTACAGCTGTCTGACTAAAAGGAAAGTGTGACCTGTTTCAGTGCATGGCTCTGTATTTCTAATAGATGGTATTTGCTGCTCTCATTTAGAGGTCCCCTCCCAGAAAAAGAGTAATAAATGCTTTTTAGTTCAGGTTTCAGAATAAAAACAGACAGCAGGGGAACCAAAGCCTTCCCCCTGCCATCCCTGTGCACCTATCATTGGACATGACATGCAGGCAGCTCAGATTGCCACCAGTTTCTCACAGTAGATGTTGGCTTACTGACCAGCATCAGGCATCTACCTACCTCCACCTTCCTGGAAGACAGAGCTACCTGGGGCAAGCTGAGATCTCCAAAACCTTGAGAATTTTCTAGTGAATGCTCTGCCTGATCAGTAAGATGAATGTGTCCTTCTCTGCCCTATATCTTGGGTATGCAACACGTCTCCTTACTAACATGCAGCAGGGTGAGCTAACTGCCTGCAGCTTCAGATTTGCTTTCTGCTCACATGCACTATTCAGAAGTTCATTCACAAGAACACAAATTATGATCTCAGAAAGGCCTCTCTCAACAGGACTGGGAAAACTCAAATATAGGCAGAAATGCATTGCATGCTCCCTTTACTTCAAGCAAGATGCCCCCACCACAATAATGCTCATAGTTATCTCAATGACTCTCACTCTCCTGTTCAGGATGGGCAGAGTGGTGCACTTCATCTTCCTTTATCTTTGAGAAGCAGGCAGCTCTAGAGAAGCCACCTCTCTTTCATTTGTTCTTTGAGCACAGCACTTGGCTATCAGGTCTCAGGAAACAACTGCTCAAAAATAAGCCTTTTCATGGGATTTAATGCACTTGTCCTTTTTACTTGACATTTCTGCAAAAATATGATTAACATCCACATTATTTTCCTTCTTTTTGCTGCAAGCTGAACAAATGTCTGCAGTTATCAGTTCTCCCAGTTAGTCCTGATTTGGCTAAAATGCCTCTTGACTAAAACGCCTGCAGCAGCTCCTGTGGAGGCAGTGGGGCATGGTGGGGTGAACTAGGGCTTGGGCATCTGGACTCGCTGCACTCTTACACCTTGCATATTGGCCGTGCTTCATTTTCAGAGCTGTGAAGCACTGCTAGCTCCCATGAGATCTGAGTAGCTTAGTCATGGGGAATTACAATGCAGGCACAAGGCACAAAGGTTCATGAATTTGGGATACTTCCCCTGTCACTATGAAAATCATGCTGCATGGTGTTCTCAGGACTTTATAAAAAAGACAGGGCAAAAGAGACCCCCATGGAAACTGCAACGGCTTGTTAGAACTTTCCTTTCTCTCTCCACTTTCCCATAGAAATGTTTTCATTTGCACTGCAGCCTCGTGAACTGAAAACTTGACCTCTGTACGTTGTTCCTGTAAAATGTGACTCACATTAGACCATGTTCAGAGTTCCAAACTACTTAGACACTAATTGTCTTGCAGTTGCCTACAGAGGAATTTCCCGTGGGTATAAATCCTACCACATCAGCCTTTGACACCAGCTTTACACCAGAGTATATGTCTGCATGAGGTGCAAGACAATCATGGGGATTTGGGATTCTGCCTACAAACTAGGAAGATAAAAAGAATCGACCTTGTACAGACAATTATTTGCCACCTGTTCATCCTCCCAGAATGGGAGATTTACAGAGGGATCTCTCCTTTCACACCACTGCAGGCTAATGATCAGGTCTGTGGCTTACGAGTAAGCACAGGAGCAGTCCTTTTCAAATTCCTTTTCATTCTTTACTGCAGATAATTCCGCTGAACCTGACTCAATGGTACATTTTAGTTCTTCATTTCCATACAGTTCAGACAACCTGGCAGGCCTGGAAGTGCTGAGATACTGAGAGCATGTTTTTCCTTTCTATCTTATTCAGGATGCATCCAAAGTCCCAGCCTGCTGTTGTTGTTATCCCAGCCTAAGCTTATAGACTGGAGATTCAAATAAAGTCCATGGGAGCAAGCAAGATTCTGGGTGCGAAAGGAACCCAAATTCCAAAGCTTTTCAAGTTTTTGCACCACTAATGATGTCCCTAGCGATAGTTAATCTTAAAGTAGTGCCCTGCTACTGCCTGACAAGCTTGTTGCCATGGTGTCTGTGTCTCTCTGTATAACTGGCACATATAGCATAAAAATCCTCTCTTTCTTTAATAGAGCAAATTACTTCACTTGTTACTGTTGGCTGCTCATTAACTCCTTCCTCCATCTTTGAAATCTTTGAAATCTTTGATGCCACTCTCACCTGTGCAGGCCCTCATCAGTGCAGCATCACCTGTACAGGTGGGTGGGTGGGAGAACTGGGCCAGTGTGGTTCTTGGAGCAGGTTGTGTTGAAAGACAAAGAGCATGAAGCAGAAAATAATCAGTAGGAATGGTTCTGGGAAGTGGACTAAAGAAGCACCTGAACAAATGCTGGGATAACAGCCAGGAAGAAGCTGAATGAATCAGCTTTTCATCCATGCAGGAGTTGAACAGTGTCAGGAAAGGGAAAAAAATGGTTTCTTCTTTGATTCTTGCTGCTTTCAGGGAAGAAGGCAAGTGAACTCTCTTCATAATACACAGGGCTGACTTAACAAATGCTTTTCTCTTATTTAGAGAAAAACATTGCTGTTTTTGTCTATTTGCTCACCTCTAAATGTGTAAAAACTACATTGCTGGCTCAAGGTTTGAGTAATGTATTTCTTCTAACCCACTTCTTATGCATTAAAGAAAAACCCAACAAACCAAAACTAAAAAAAACCAACCCAAACCAGTGATGCTTTCTCTAAGTTCAAGCTAGGTGTTCTTCTCCTCAACATAATCCCTCACCAAATTAGGTTTGCCTAGGCTAGTTTAAATGAAGTAGCTTGATCTAGATCTTATACTGAAGATAACAGTGAGGGACTTCTTCCAATGTCTTAAGGTATTTCAGGCTTATCTAAATTCCCACATTATTTTTGTTATTCTCTCTTCTTCTCCTAGCTGCACAGATGGTCACATTTTAATTTCTGCTTTATGATTCTTGCCAGCTGATACAGTAAAATGTTTCGGTTTTCCTCTTTTATATGTAAAACAACATTGAAGCTGGTTTTGAAGGGGAATTTCCATTATTCTCCTTAATTGTTCACACCCTGCTAGCCACAACACAAGCCACATTCAGATAACAGGGTACTTGTGCCTCAGACCTAGTACATTGCCAACAGTTGCTGAGGTGGAGCAGCAGGAATGGCAAGTGCAACATCACCCAGGTGCTCTGCTGAGGGCACATACCACTTTTAAACAGCTCACATAACACAGGTACACAGGGCACAGAGTCCCCAAGAAAACTGCTAGGCTATCCATGTAGAAAGCACCACCAATTTTTCCAGAGATGTGTCTTCATTACATCGCAAACACACGAGTACACACATTAAACACATTTCACTGTATATGGGTGTTTCCTCTGTCTCTTTACTCAACCCTGTAGCTGTATAGGGACATCACTGAACTTCCCACCATGAATATCCCTGCCCTGGCAGTGGCAGCACAGACTATGAAGAGAAAATAAGCAACTGATCTCCATGCCATTAAGGGCCTGTACTTAGACACAAAAGCAAAGAAACTGATTTATTGGCAGTTACCCATTGCTCTCATTGCCTCTCACACCTCTGAAAGAAGCCAGGCTACTTCT